AGCAGATAAGCAGTTGGGAAAGCCAGCTAGCTGGGAGCTGGAGGCCAGTGCCATTTGATAAAGCGCAAATAGATTGGCCTGGTGCAGAGCTGGAGGGGCGACTGAGGGACACTTGCCAATGCAAATAAGCCTCAAACAAGAGCACATTGTTGGAATTTCTGCAAGTTAGTTGTTAATCAAGGAGATCATGGCATATTAGGACCTTTTAACACATGTTTCTGACATCTGGCCCTGTGCGGCTGACAGTTCAATTAGTTCTGTGATTGACCGAGCAGTGTGTTGTAGTGTTGAGTCATCAATAACACTTGAAGGCATTACGGTGCATGCTGAGTTTTTTGTCACCAATGACTCATCGATAGCACAAGTGCTAAGAGCAGTTCAACCTGCTTTGGCAATGGCTCTGACACCATGAGACTGTCACCAGGCTTGTCGTGGTCCATTACCCTGAGCTCAAAGGCAAGGTGCAGGCTCTAATGAGAGTTGGTGTCTCTTTCGTCTGAGGTTCCCTGGTGTTCAGATGCCAACTTATGGATTGGGATTCAGACCCATCCACCCACTGACTCTGAGGGATTGACATGGAGATTGACTTCTGTGAATCCTGAAGCCTAGAGAAACCGTGAGACAGATCTACTCTGTTATTTGGGATCACTATGAATCCACCAGCTGCTCCTGGAAGAAGGAAGGGCATTCTTTTCCCAAGTGATTATCCGTTTCTGAAAACCCACTGGAAGGTCAGCTATGGGTTGGTTCCAACTCAGTGGTACACAACAGCAACAACAGGTGGTGGTGGGGAACTCAGTGACACCTAACAACAGCATTCCTTTTATCAGCCTTTTTAATTGTCTGTGCATGTCCAGCACTGGGACAGAATGTGCCATATCACATGGTACTGCCTTCTGGGAAGCTGCACTAGGAGGCATGGCTCACACCCAGAGAGGCCATGGAGGGCTGCTGAATGGGAGTCATTGTACATGGTCTGGCAAAAGGCACGCCTGGGAGAGTCTCCTAAGAGAATGAGGCATGGTCAGTTTGGGCCTTTAGAAATGTCCCTTCAGACTTACTGGTTATATATGGATTACTAGAAAACCATGGTGATTAGATACTCTTCAAACTTGGAGCTGAACTCATCCTCATGGATCAACTACTAGCTAAATGAAAGGCACACCTGGAAGGTGGAGTCACATGAGGGAGCCATGCACTCCTTAGAGTAATTGACATAGGAGATCTGAAGGGCAGCACTTGTCTGGGAATTAATCTTAGAAAGCAGGAAAGGATTGGAAAGGAAGCTGACTGGAAATAGGTAAACAGTGAAGAAGTGGAAAAGGAGTTGCTACGTTGTGGAGATTGCAATGAAATATATAGATTGTTGTTGTTGCTGCTGGTGTCCTCGAACTACGTGCCTTCAGGATTGCAGTGCAGCTTCTTGCCACTAGGCCACCAGAGCACCCTCATAATATAGATTATTGAATAGAAAATTCGTTTGCTCTGAAAACTTTCTTTCAAATAACAATTAAAAAAAGAAAAGGAATAGGGAAACTATCACATAAAAAAGTCTGCAAAAGATCAGAACAGAAAAGTGTATGGAGGAAATCTAAATATCTGCAAAGCTATCCAGTTTCAGTAGAAGCAAGCCATTTAAAATACTTTTAAAAAAATTTGTGCATATTTTATTGGAAACAATTAAAATGACTGAAATATCAGGCTGCCATGGATGTCTAAAAGCTGAACTCTGATTGGCTAAGATCAGTGAATAAATATTTGGCAGTTTTAATTCTAAAAAAAGAGAGAACATATTGTTTACCTGGGGGAGGAAGGGGGTGAAAATAGCACTCTATTAAGCTCTGACGGCCTGTTGGTAAGAAGGTGCACCGCAATATCAAAGGCACACAGTTCAAATTCACCAGTTGCTCTGCAGAAGAAGGATGGGCAATCACCTCCCGTTTGATTTACTCTCTCTGAAAACCCACTGGAGGGCCTGTTAGCTATAAGTCAGTTCTGACTCGGCACACAACAACAACAGCAGCAGCAGTGTGTTACAAATGATGAATATTGAGGACTAGGTCAACCAGAGTAAAGCTCTGTATTTTATATGGAGGCAATGTCCATTAAAAACAAAACAAAACAAAATAAAAACCTTTGAAAGGCTCACCACACTACCTGCTGTGTGAACAGTTTCTTCTTATGTGATCACATGGTCACCCCAGTACCTCAGATGAAGTAAAATAATACTGCACAAGAAGAAACAAATACAAGCAACTGAAATAGAGCCACTACCACTGTGATGTTGTTGCTGTTGTTAGACTTCTAGTCTTAATAACCCTGTAAGTAACAAAAAGAAACTTGGTCCAGCCCTGGGCCATCCTCACAATCGGTTTGTGCTTAAGCCCATTGTTGAAATTATTGTGGCAATCCGTCTCACTGTGGATTTCCCTCTTTTCTGCTGACCTTCTACTTTTCCTCCTCCAGGGACGGGCCCCTTCTGATAACATGCCCATAATACCTGAGACAGTCTCACCATCTTGCATCTAAGGAGCCCTCAGGCTGCATTTCTTCTAAGACAGACTTATCTGTTGTTTTGTGAGTCCCTGACATAGTCAATTTTCTTTGCAAGCACCTCAATTTAAATGTGCATCATCTAAAGTATCTTTGAATAAAATAGTAATCGCAACACTTCTTTCTCCTTGAAAGCACTAAAATGCACTGCTGCTGAATTAAGTTCTGACTTGTAGCAACCGTCCATCAAGTTCCAAGGCTATGTATCTATTACAAGACAATACTGCCTCTACTTCTTCATGGATTTGAACCATAGACCATGCACAATGTCACCGGGACTCCCAGTGAAAGCATTTCCCTCTGCCAGTGCGTCAAGTCAACTCAGCTACCCTCTACCATGTTTCTGAAATGGCACATTTCTATGGGAGGGGACTGTCCACCTTTATTTCTTGGAGCAACTAGTAGCCCAGCATGTTATGGACTCTGCCACCAGGATTCTGGAGACAGCATTAGAGTCATAAACAGTTGTCATTGGGGCAGATGGCTGCTTCCTCAGGGGATCTGTTTTGACAGTTGTCTTCTGCACCATGCCCTACTATACAATATAAAGATAATATTGCAATCATTGTGTGTGGTTATCTTGCTAATATTTTAAAGTATAACTGCCAAAAGAAAGCTCAAAGATGTGATGACACTAATTTCAGAAACCTGACTCAAGATTTACCCTAATTAGATTCCCCTTAAAAAAAAAAAAGGATAGGAAACACTCTTATATTGCTCTCAGTTTTATTTGCCATAGAATGTAGGCTCCAATATGTGCTTTGCACTGTTTGCAGTTTCTGCTTTGCATCTTAAGCAGACAGGAACCATTAATTTTTCAGTTAGAAGCTAACCATTAACTATGTGTGCCATCCAGGAACTCCTGAGATCAGTACAATCCCAGAAAGCATTTCTGCCACAATAGTGTTTTCATTTTCATATGAGAGTCCTGGGGAGAGGGTCCTAAGACCTCCTCCAATGACTGCAGGATACATTTGTGGCAGTGTGGCCCTTTAAGACTCTGTCCAGGAGCTGAGTCACCTTAGTCACTGATCCCTTCCCTCTGCACTGTCCCCAGGAGCACTGGCTGTGACCTCACAGATGTGATGCAGACAGAATGAAAATTAGGATGACATATTATCACAAATATGACACACAGTATTTCCTCAAGAAGGGAAGCTGTTGTGCAACCTTTGTTCATAATCCAGCCTACTTCTATTTTTTTTTAAATATATTGTTTTGCTTCAGAGTTTGTACACTTTGTTTCACACTATTCTTGATTCACATTGTGTTTCATACAATCATTCCCATTCATTATGTTTTATAAAATTAATTACCATTGGACTATGCCCATCATTATCCTGTCTATTCAGGTCCCCACTGGATCTTTCCCATTTCCTTTACCTGCTGTCTCCATCCACCAAATTATGCACCTCTGTGATTTCACCCCTACCTATCCTCACCCCTCTGCTCGCACCTCGTGCTCCCTTGGATCCACAAAAATGGTTTACTAATTGTTGTTATGTGCCGTTGAGTCGCTTGTCACTCATAGTGACCTTGTGCACAACAGCTCTGAATTCTGCTCTATCCTGTGCCAGCCTTATTGTCTCTTATACACCTACCCCCAATCCCCAGTCACTGAATCAGTCCATTTTATCGAGAGTCTTCCTCTCTTGTGCTGTCCCACCACCCTCCCAAGTATGACATCCCTCTCTCCAAGGACTGGTCCCTTCTTGCAGTATGCCTAAAGTATGTCAGATAAAGCTTCTAGTCTTCTATTTTTGAAATAATGGTCTTATGCAGTATTATTATGAGATTGAATTAGTTCACTCAACATAACCCCACCCCCTCTTTTTTAATTTTTTTTATTTTGAAGAAACTACTGAAAAAAACCACACAGTGAAAACAGTCTCCAGGCACACTGGGAAATTATATACACAATGGGCTTGTGCTTTATTTTTGTCTCAGATGGTCACTGGGAGCTCAGCCCTGCGTCCTAGGGGCCTCTGCTCTGCTCCTGTGCAGCCTGGTGCAGCCAGTCTTCATATACCCAGGGCGGCGCTTTGATGCTGACTGGCGCGCCTGAGCAGAGGGGGCGGAGCCAGCTCGATAGTGCTCACCTTGCAGCTGCCAGTATAGAATCTTGATGGCGGCTCTAGCAGTGGCCCAGATCCTATTGTAAATCTAGAATGTCCTCAGAAATTCAACACTGAGGCTCCTTGCAACTTTGCAGTGCTAACTTTGTGACAAATTCAAGGCTCTATTGATTGTCTTTTCCAAATGCTGCTATATGCAACCTCTCTTCCCAAACCCAGCTCTGCGTGTCTTCTTAGCATCTTTCCCTCAGTGGGCTTTTTATCCTTATTGCTTCTTCTCGACTCAATGGTGCCTACTAACAACATTATCATGAGCTCTGACATGGGCACTGGTGAGTTCTCATCTTTTCCTTTGTGCTAATTGACTCACAGGAGAGAATCATTGAGCGCTTGAAAGAACAACGGGAGAGAGATGACCGGGAAAGACTAGAAGAGATCGAATCCTTCCGAAAAGAAAACAAAGACCTAAAGGAGAAGGTCAACGCTTTGCAAGCTGAACTGACAGAGAAGGAGGTGAGTTCGAAGCACACGTGAAATGACATGATGGTCATCTTAGCCCACGCTCATTGTAGACCCAGGAGAGGGTTGGTTTGAGCAACTGTGTGAAGACTTGGGGAATATAGTGACATTTCTTCTGAAAATGCTACTTGTAACTTCTTAAGCATTTCAGCAGTGATGCGGCATAAAAGCTCCACTAACTATGTAATGCTACTTTTGGCAAATTTTCTTTATAGAGGCATGCCTCCGTAACACCACAGGTTTCATTCTTCTTGTTGTTGTTAAATGTCGTGGAGTGGTAGGTGACTCATAGCAATCCTATGAATGTAAGTCCTCAGCACTTGTGTGACTTTCATCCTTTCTCCAGGTTCGTAGGGTTTCCAGAGGCAAGCTATTACAGAAGTGGATGCCACTCCTGCTTCCAAGCTTGTTTTAATCGGGGAGCTTCACCAAACACTGCCCACCATGGGTAACCATCGTCACGTTTGACACATCAGTGTCACAGTGTTCAGCTTCACAGCGACCACAGGTTACCTATGTATGGGAAGTGGGCACATCAGGGCTATCTAGACCAGCAAAATAGAGAAAATATTGTAATAAAGTGAACACCCAATTTTGTGTGTGTTTCTCAGTCCGTATTTTTTTAAAAACTATGTAACTGTAGTCTATTAAGTATGCAAGGACCATATGACAAAGTTGAATATTTTGTGAGAAATACCATCATTACCAAAAAATATAAGAATCAGCACCATTACGAAAATGGCACCAATAAACTTGCTCCACACAGGGTTGCCAGAAATCTGTAACAGTGTGGCTGTAAACACTGGTATCTGCAAAGTGTGATAAAGCAAAGCATGATTATATAAGGGATGCATGTGTCATCCCACATTTGTGTGGCATGTTGTTGTTGTTATTAAGTGCTGTCGAGTCGTAGATGACTCATAGCGATCCTATGAACGAAAGACCTGAACAGTTGTATAACTTTCATTTTTCTGCTCAGTTCATAGAGTTTCTGGAGGCAAGCTATTTCAGAAGTGGATGCCACTCCTGCTTCCAAGCCTGTTTTAATCTGGAAGCTCCAGCAAACACTGCCCAATCTGTGTAACCATTACGACATTTGGCACAGAAATGTGTCATAAAGGAGTCCATATTCTTTCAAATATCTATGATTTTTTTGCTTGACATAAAAAACAACCTTAGCTACATATGTTGTTGTTACTTTTATGTGCTGCCACATCACCTGTGACTCATAGCGACTCTATGCACAATAGTTCTGAACTCTATCCTGAGCCAGTCTCACTGACTCCACCTACCCTGTTGCCCCAGTTACTGTGTCAATTCATCTTATCCAGGGTTGTCTTCTCCTGTGCTGTCCCTCCACTTTTCCAAGCATTATCTCCTTCTCCAAGGACTGGTCCCTCCTGGCAACAACCCTATGTACAGCCTGGTTTAACCCTCTCCAGGATGAATCTGCTTGTATTCTTAGCAGTCCATGGTACACTCAATACTCTTCTCTAGTGCCACAGCTCAAAGGCATCAATTCTCCTCCTATCCTCCCTAGTCATTGTCCAGCTCTCTGACCCATAGCAAGTGATTGCAAAGACCGTGGCCTGCACCTTAATCTCCAGAGAGGCACCATTGTCCCTTGGTACTTTGAAGAGGTCCCTAACAACAGACTTTCCCATCGCAATATGTCTTTTAATTTCCTGGCTGCTGGTGCTAAGAATGTTCACTGTGGAACCAAGCAAACTAAAGCTGTTAACAATCTCAATCTCTGCACCATCCATCCTGATACTGCCAATTGGTCCAGAGAATCTTTGTCTTCTTGACATTGAGCCTCAATCCATACTGAAAACTGTAGTCCTTGACCCTCTTAAGCAAGTATTTCAGGTCCTCCTCAGTTTCAGCGAGCGGGGTTGTGTCATCTGCATAACGCAGATTGTTGATAGATCTTCCACCAATCCTGATGCCACATTTCTCCTCATAGAGCCCAGCCTCCCAGATAATCTGTTCTGCATACAGATTGAAAAGGTATGGAGACAGGACACATCCCTGGCATACGCCCTTCCCAATTTTGAACCATGCAGTGTTTCCTTGCTCTGTGCTGATGACTGCCTTTTGGTCCAAATATAGTTTTCACATTAGGATGATCAAGTGCTCTGGGATTCCCATTCTTCTCAGAATTAGCAACAGCTTGTTGTGATCCACAGTCAAAGGCCTTTGCATAATCAATGAAACACAGATAGACATTCCTCTGGTATTCCCTACATTCAGCTAAGATCCATCTAACATTAGGTACAAAATCCCTAGTACCACAACCCCTTCTAACCCAGCCTGGACTTCTGGCAATTCTCTGCTGATGTGCTGTTCCAGTTGTTTTTGGATAATCTTCAGTAGAATCTTGCTTGCATGTAAAATCAGTGATACTGTTCTATAGTTTCACACTCTGTTGGGTCGCCCTTCTTTGGAATGGTAACAAATACAGATATCTTCCAGTCAGTTGGCCAAGTGGTTGTTCTCCAGATTTCTTGGCACAACTTGGTGAGCACGTCCAGGGCAGCGTCTGTTAGCTGAAATATGTCAATTGGTATACCATCTATTCCTGGGGACTTATTTTTTTGCTATTGCCTTTAAAGCAGCTTGAACTTCTTCCTTCATCACCATAGGCTCTGGCTCATATGTTGTTTCATTAAATTCTTCTGTGTCTACCAATTCCTTTCAATACAGTGACTCATCTTCTATGAATACTTTCTGGATCATATAATATTCTGCCTAAAGCATCCTTGATTATGGCAACTTGAGGTTTATTTTATAGTAGATAATTTTATAAACTATGTCCATACTACTTACAAACACAGACACAGAATGCAAACCCTACTGCTGCTCTTAATGTACAACAAAAACAGTAGAATTTGAAGCATTAGGGGTTTTGGAGAGAATACTTTGGGTTCATTGTATTCTGAGTGATATTCCCCACCACCTCTCTCAGCTTACTTAGAGGTAGTTTCCTGGAGAAATCTGAGATGAAAGAATGAACATTTTTTCTTACTCTCCATGACCCTGAGATGCACACTGATACCTACAGCTGACTCCTTCATACTTTGCTAGCTAGCAATGTCTTTCTCCTTCTGGGCTATTGAAGACCCTTTCATCTCATCAAGCTACTGACAAGCATTCTCCTCCCATATGATTAACTGCCTCAGAAAACCTGTGGGAGGGTCAGCTATGGGTTCTGACTCAGTGGTACACGACAAAACCAATAATGGCTATTTGAGTTTTGATAATTCTATATAAATTAAAGTTCTATCTAATTTAAGGATACAGATGAAGATAGGAAGTATTAGTAATGAAGAGGAATTTTGAGGAATCCCACGCATGAAATCTATAGTCCCTAAAGTTCTTGTTCTAGAGAATATTTCATTGATAAGAGAAAATTGCAACCATTTCCTACTAGTTCACTGCTAATTGTGACTTGCACTTTCTATAATTATTGCACTTTGTATGTAAGAACATATGTAGAAACTTTGACCACATTTATGAAAAGCTTCTCAGATTGTAAGTATTATTTGTGGGTTTGTACCTCAAAACCTATTGATGTGCTTCAAACTGAAAAGAGGTCTGATAATGTAGTGCAGCAGGAATGTTAAACAGAAGTTATTTCTTAAAAACAGTGCTGAGCTGTATGAATTTCAGATATGGATTTCAACAAACACTTGTTGTGCATGTAAGTGCATCTGTCACTGGACTGGTTCTACCAAAGAAACAGAACCGTAAGTGTGTATAGGGGTAGAGACATACATATCGATTTATAGGAAGCTCAGTTATCAGCTGTGAAAACTAGGCCAGGTGCTGATTGTAGAACAGACCACAAACAACTCATACGCAAGTTCAAGCTGAAGCTAAGGAAAATGAAATAGAATCCACAGGAACCAAAATATGACCTTCATTCTATCCCACTTAAATTTCAAAACCATCTCAGGAACAGGCTGAGGCCTTGAACACCAATGAGCTAAGACCGGATGAGTTGTGGGAGGATATCAAGAGCATCATCCAGGAATAGTGCAAAAGGTCATTACAAGGACAGAGGAGGAAGAAAAGACCAAAATGGATGTCAGAAGAACCTCTGAATATTTCACTAGAGTGCCAAGAAGCCAAAGCAGAGGGAAGAATTAAAGATACTAGAGAGCTGAACAGAAGCTAGCAAAAGACAGCACGGGAAGACAAAGTAAAATATTACAATTAAGTATGCAAGGAGCTCGAGTCAGAAAATCAAAAGGGCCAAACTCGCTCAGCATTTCTTAAGTTCAAGGAACTGAAGAACAAATTCAAACTTCAGGTCGCTATGCTTAAGGATGCTTTGGGCAGAATATTAAGTGATCCAGGAAGTATTAAAAGAAGATGGAAAGAGTATACAGAGTCATTGTACCGTAAGAATTGGCAGACACAGAAGAATTTCCTTAAACAACATATGAGCAAGATCCTATGGTGATGAAGGAAGAAGTTCAAGCTGCTTTGAAAAAAATTGGTCACAAAAGAAGGCCCCAGAAATTGATGATACACTGATGGATGTGTTTAAACTAACAGATGCTGCCCTGGACGTGCTCACCAAGTTGTGTCAAGAAATCTGGAGAACAACCACTTGACAAACTGACTGGAAGAGATCTCTGTTTGTTCCCATCCTGAGGAATGGTGATCCAACAGAGTGTGCAAATTATTGAACAATATCATTTATAACACATGCAAACAAGATTCTACTGAAGATTATCTAGAAACAACTGAACAGATTATTAGCAGACTACTGCCAGAAGTGTAGGTTGGATTTAGAAGGGGTCATGATATTAGGGATATTGTAGCTAATGTTAGATGAATCTTTACTGAAAGCAGGGAGTACCAGAGGAATATCTATCTGTGTTTAATTGTTTATGCAAAGGCATTTGACTGTGTGGATCACAACAAACTGTGGCTGACTCTGAGAAGAATGAGAATCCCAGAACACTTGATCCTGCTAGTGAGAAACCTGTACTTGGACCAGGAAGCAGTCATCAGCACAGAGCAAGGAAACACTGCATGGTTCAAAATTGGGAAGGGCGTATGCCAGCGATGTGTTCTATCTCCATACCTTTTCAGCCTGTATGCAGAGCAGATTATCTGGGAGGTTGGGCTCTATGAGGAGAAATGTGGCATCAGGATTGGTGGAAGACTCATCAACAATCTGCATTATGCAGATGATACAACAACCCTGCTAGCTAAAACTGAAAAGGACCTGAAGTGCTTGCTGCAGAAGGTCAAGGACTGCAGCCTTAGAGATTAAGGCTCAATATCAAGAAAACAAATATTCTCACCACTGGTCCAATTGGCAGCATCAAGATTGATGGTGAAGAGATTGAGATTGTTAACAGCTTTAGTTTGCTTAGTTCCACAGTCAACACTCTTGGTACCAGCAGCCAGGAAATTAAAGGACATATTGCAATGGGAAAATCTGCTGTTAGGGACTTCTTCAAAGTACTGAAGAGCAATGGTGTCACTCTGGAGACTAAGGTGTGCCTGATACAGTTCATGATCTTTGCAATCACTTGCTATGGGTCAGAGAGCTGGATATTGAGTAGGGAGGATAGAAGGAGAGTTGATGCCTTTGAGCTGTGGTGTTGGAGAAGAATATTGAATACCATGGACTGCTAAAAAAACAAGTTTATCTTAGAGAAGATTAAACCAGACTGCTCCTTGAATACAAGGATTCTGAAGCTTCATCTGACGTATACTTTGGACATTTTGGAAGGAGGACCCATTCCTTGGAGAAGGACATCATGCTTGGGAGGGTGGAGGAACAGTGTAGGAGAGGAAGACCCTCTATGACGTGGATTGATTCAGTGACAGGGGTAATGGGGGGTAGCTGTGTCAGAGACAATGAGGTTGACACAGGATAGAGTAGGGTTTAGGGCTGTTCTGTATAGGGTCACTATGAGTCGCAGGTGACGCGACGGCGCATAGTAACAACAACATATACATATTATCAGTATCAGTATCTATATACTCGGTTCACTTATGAATTTGTTTCTTCAGTTTTGCTCTTTTCAACTGATTGGTTCAGGCCCCGATATATCAGATAGCTACCTTTATATAAAATTAACTGATTGTAGATATTAATAACATCTACAAAATGCCTTCACAGGAACACTTAGATTTATATTTAATTAAATACCTTGGAACTAGTGAAAAGGAGCGCTGTTTGGTGTCGTGTTAAAGGAATTGTGGTGCTAATGCAAAGGTTATGCCTCTGGAAGTTCAAATCCATGAGCACCCCCATTGGAGAAAAATGGGCCGTCTCTTCCTGTACAGTTTACCACCTTCGAAATTCATAGGAAGATCAGCTATGAATTGGCTCCTGCTCTGTAGTGATGAGAAAGGTAGCCAGGTTGACACATAGGCTGATCACCCACTGTTCTTGTTGTTGTTAAGTGCCATTGAGTTGGAAGTGACCCATAGGTGACCTTCCAGTGGATATTCAGAGGCGGTTAATGGCATGAGAGGAGATTTCCCATCCTTCTCCTGTGAAGCAACTGGTGGCCTTGAACCATGTGTCTTTAGGATTGCAATGCAGCCTCTTATCACTAGACCACCAGAGCTCCCTATTTGCCCCCTAGGAAATTTAAAATGTATATGGCAAAACAGCACATCGTTGCTAGCCACATGGAGCTGATCATTTTGTTGGGGATGATAAAAAAAACCTAGTCACAATGACAAAAACCAAAAAACCCCAAGAAAAACCAACAACAAACAAAAATCTAAACAAACCTGAATTATAAGATTGCTGGTTATATTCCGTGGAAGTGATATAGTAAAGAACACTGGAATTGTAGGTACAAATATGAATTTGGTATTTCTATCTCCCTTCAATAAACAGGTGACCTTTAACTCACGTGAGCTCTAGTCTTGTCTGACATATGAGCAGGACACACTTGTCTCTTGGAGGGCTGTTAGGAGCACCTTACTGGGGATTGGTTGCTTGTGGTGGTGGCTTACTGGATGCTGGTTTATTGTAGGGGGCACAGGCATTCAGTGCCCATACAGCAAGCAGCCCAGGAACAATAGACACCATCATTTACTGAGAGCCCTCTGTTCGTATGGCATCTTTTTTAGGAACTGTGAACAACAGATAAAAAGGAAATACACAATGACTAGTTTGGGTGAAATCTGATCGTTTTACTCACAGAACCATTGTTGTTGTGTACCATTAAGTCAGAATCGTCCCAGAGGGCTGACCCTCCACCAGGTTTTCAGAGGCAATTAATTGCATGAGAGGACTTGTTAGTTAATAGCTGGTAGATTTGAACCACATGCCTTCAGGATTACAGCACAGCTTCTTAACCACTAGGCCACCAAAGCTCTGGTAACGAGCTTTGTCCTCCTGGGTAACAAAGCTATCTTGAGTGAGTATTTATTTATTTGTTTGTTTATTTTGGGGAATTTAACTTAAATATTGAAGTTGTTGATTTCCAGACATGAGGGATTAATGGATCAATGTATGTAACCCTATGCCTGGGTCATGGAGCCCAGATGGTGTAGTTCACATACTGAACTACCCCAGACTGAAAGATCAGTAGTTCAAATCCACAAGAGCAAAATGGGCAGTCTCTTCCCATAAAGATTGCCAGCTTAGGAAACCACTTGAAAGGTCACTGCTGTTCAGACTTACCTCAGTGACAGTGGGCATTTGGGGTTTATACTTTAATTGGGAGTTGAATTAATTGACTGAATTTGGATTTATGAAGGCCTACACTGGTGACCTAGTGGTAAAGCATTGCATTGCCAACCCAGAGGCATGTGGTTTGAATTCGCCAGCCACTCCAAGAGAGAAAGATGGGCAGTCTCCTCCTGTGCAGTTTACAGCCACTGAAAACCCATTGGAGGGTCAGCTATGGGTTGGTTCCAATTCGACAGCACGCAGGAACAACGGCAGTGAAGGGAATGCTGGTAGCCTTTCCCCTGGTGACTTGTGCTGGTAACCCAAAGGCTGCACCTCTGGGGCGGTCTGAATCCACCAGTGGCTCTGAGGGAGAGACAGAGAAGGTCAGTCTCCTGTGTGATTTACAGCCTGTCACACCTAAGAGTCACCTACGTGAGTCTTTTCCAACTCAACAACAGTGATTTTTTCTGAGACAGCATTGTCTACTTTACCAACAGTTTTTTCAAGATCATTTTATCTTTAACTCTCCAGAGTGTATTTGAGAAGTTTTTGGTCCTGTTTCTTTAGAAACAACTGGAATCTGTTACACATTCGATAGGATGACTCTTTTATGCTTAACTTGCCTTTTGGGGAACCAGAGCAGCGAAGTTGACATTTTCGTTCATATTTGTCTTAGTGTCTGCATGACTTGACAACAATAAATGTAAGTGGAAGGCTCGGGTGTCTGTTTCACCTTGACGCATAAAGAGCACCTCGGGACTGACATCATTAGCGCGGCTTTGCAAAGTGAAGCTTACGCTTAATGACCGCACCATTGGGTCACCACGAATTCTGCTGTAATTAGATTCTTCTCAGTTCTGTAAATGGGCCAACTTTCATTTCCTGGCCAGAGCAGGCTATTGTTACCTGAGGAAGACTGTATTTACCCCTTCTGTCTAATGCTCACTTTATGGCCAGGGATAGAATCAATGTGTTCAAATTGAAGACCTTGATAGGAGAAATTGCAGTATTTTACTCACCAGCATTCTTTCTCTTCCAGTCTAGCTTAATTGACCTCAAAGAACATGCATCTTCATTAGCCTCCGCGGGGCTGAAAAGAGACTCCAAATTAAAATCTCTAGAAATAGCCATTGAACAAAAGAAAGAGGAATGTAGCAAATTGGAAGCACAGTTGAAAAAGGTAAGTGAAGCCTAAGGGGGGGAAAAATGCTAATTTAAAAACAAATTTATAAGATGGGAAAGGAAGAGACAGTTTTCCCCCAAAGAAACAAACCCCTTATCTTTTGCTGTCTGCTGATAAAGGAATTAAACTCTCTTAGCTTTATTCCCAACAAGTCTGCAGCAAGTCTGTCTGTGGACCTGAAAAATTATCTTAGGTTTCCTGTCTGAAGAAAGCTTGAAAAAAAAGTGAAAATAATCTAATGGAAGTGAAAACATATCCTAAAAAACCAGCCGCTTCTCTCTGGGCAAATCTCAACTATCCAAAAAGGATAAATGGCACTGTTCACAATAAACCAAAAAATCAGAGGTTCCCATTAGATGCTGAGAAACGTGACTCCTTTTAGAAGTAGGTCTGACTTTTTATTATTATGGGGTTTTTAACAGAAGTTTTTCCTCAAGTTGGAAATTCTAGAAGTTAACCAAAACAAGTCAAGTGCATATCTGTAGGATGCTTATGTGTGACCAGAAATGGTTGTAATGTCTAAGAAGGCGTGTTCATATGGAAAACTTCGGGGGTCTGGGGAGGGAAGAAGCAACACCGTCACATTTTAGCATTAACATGTTTTCTCTGACCTCAGCATTTTTTGTGGAGTACATTTCCAGTCATGCATCGTTCCTTTGACTTCTTCCCTGTGTTGTTCAGTATGTCTGCACTCATCGTTCACATAAAACTCATAATGTTATGAGTTTAAGCATTTTGTTTCCCTTTGGCAGTTTGCAAACTCATTCGGAAGAAGTGGGGAGAATCTGAAATATCAACTAAAGCAGAGAATCAAATTTGACTCTGTATAATTCATAGCACACTGGAATGGGAATTTATTTGCTAGAGTTATGAAAACATGACACAGATTATCAAGGATGCAGAGGAAACAGGTTTTCTGTGGAGAAATTTTTCTGTGTTTTTAGGAATTTCCTATAATATTTTGTATGAAGCCATATATTACTGAAACAAATATTGGACCAGGGACTTTAAAAACTTGCCGTGAGGAATTTCACACTGGTTAAGTCTATGCAATAATTCAAAGATATAGTTTGAGAAATAGATCAAATTCCTTTAAAACAAAACAGCAAGAAAATGTCTATATTACCAGATCTATTTTTTAAGCCACTCAACCTCTCACATTTTTTAAGCGCTATTTAGCCAAACAGGAATCAGAAGCCATAAAAAGATGGCGTACTGTGTAACATACCTAGCTGCTAGCCAAAAGGTTAACAGTTTGGATCTACCTGCTACTCTGTGGGAGAAAGATGGGAAGTCTCCCCTTGTAAAGATTTGTAGCTTTGGGAAACCCTCTGAGAGGGCTGTTGGGGTCAGAATTGACTCTACTGCAGTGAGTTTTGGATTTTTGACTTATGGCACAGTCGTTAAAGTGCTAGACTTTTACCCCAAAGGCTGACAGTTCTGGCCTACCAGTTCAATAGGCCATAGTGGGGGTGGTTTGCTTCCATAAAGATGACTGCCTTGTAAACCTCACAGAACACTTCTTCTATGCCCTGCAGAGTCATTATGAGTCAGAATCAACTCAGTGACATTGGATTAGGTTTGTTTGTTTTTTTTAATTTGTTTTGTTTTACACTTTTAAAATGGATAGTGACTTGACATTATATGCCCTGGGTATGTGAGGTACATTCTCAAATGATTGACATTCACAGACCAAATTCAGTAAGCATTTCAGTATTATTCCTAATAGCATTTTAGTATTCTGAAACCCCCACCAGAACTGTACTAACAAATATGGTTGTAACATACATGAGTATGTTATATCATATGCTATGAGTGCTTAATTGTATAAAGAAATGAGCCTCAAAAGGTACTTTTTAACCTAACAGACTAAGATAACTCTCGGGAGCTCTGGTGACTTAGTGGTAAGAAGCTCCTCTGCTTACCCAAAGGCACGCAGTTCAGATCCACTAGCTGCTCGTGGGAGAAAGATTAGCAGTCTCCTCTGATGTGATTTACAGACAGCCCAAAACAACAACAAAAAGATAACTCCACAGAAGAGAGGTGTTCATCTGCTACCAAGGGTGGTCCTTTAGGCTGTCTTGTCCAGTCACAGTATGTTGAGTCTGAAAGAAGGAACTGAATCCATTGCTGGTGATTAATTTTGACTCATAGTGACCTTCTAATGAATTTTCAAGACTGTGAATTTTTGTCTGGTTGAGTCTTGGGTGGATTTGAACCACTAACTTTTTTGGTTCACAGCTTACCACACAAAATGCTATAGACCCCCAGGGTTCCTGGAAAAGAGAAGTCTTCAGATTGAATTGAACACGAAAACTAGCCCTTATAGACCCACACCAGTCACTTCCACTAGTGCAAATTGTCTAAGAAATCAAAAATCCTTTGGTAATTAGAAGGAGGCTCCCATATTTACGATTATACTTTGCATGTATATGACTTGACTAGTTTAATAAGTCAGCATCTGTGCAATTCAATTTTAGTTTCCTTCAACATAGCTGTGGTTCGCCCGAGAGATCACTTGAGCGTGTGGTTTCCGTAGACCCTTAGGTAGATGCCAGGTATTGACATTCACAGACCAAATTCTGTAAGCATTTTAGTATTATTCCTAACAGCATTTTAATATTCTGAAACCCCCACCAGAATTATACTAACAAATATGGTTGTCTTGCTCTAAAGGACCTATTTAATTTCTGAAACGTTAACTTATTTTTAAGTATATAAATAATCTGTGTTTATACTATCACCTAAATGCATTCTACAGTGAGATTAAATAGGGTAATTATAATTTAAATATTTTTGTATGTAACCTGCAAATGCTACTTTGTTGTTCTTGGCTCTCTATCATCAGCTAAATTCAAAAGTTTAAAACATTTTTCCCCAGTAGTCTTTAATTTTTGCTAATAAATAGTTCTGTAAAAACCTCAAGTACCCATCACCTTAAAAAAATTGGGATCTACATGAAATATTTGAAATTCTAAGCCAACAGTATATGAATATACATATAAACACATCATTTACCCCTGGAAAAATAAGCAGTTATAAAAGTATAAGGCGTGTCTGGGCCTCCTTTTAAATAAAAGAGTATGTTACTTACGAATAAAATATAAAGGCTTGCTAAATGAAGGCTGAAAATATAATAGTTTTATTATACCATAAATTCATGAGCTCCCAACGAAATTTGCTCAAGATTTGAAAGTGTCCAGGTATTTTCGCCAAGAAATAGGCACTGTCTTGCGATTGTGTTTCGTGAGAAAGTTTTTTCAGAAACTTTGGCAGGGACAGTGGGACCTAAATGATAACTTAAACTGATTTTCCTGTTAGAAACAATGCATGGTGTTGGGGAAGTGAGTCTTCACAGCAAAGTTTGCAGAGAACATATTTATACCACGACTCACCATTAGCTCAAGTTCAAAGGGAAGGTACTGCTGTATCCTCTGAAGTTACGTTGAAACACTTTGTGTCAGAAGATGGTTAAGGGCAAAATATGAGCTATTCTTTACCATTTCCCTTCCGCCATTTTTAACATAGTGCAATCTTGCGTGAAGAAATTTTCATGAGAATATTGAGACTAATAAAACAGTACTAAGCAGAAAACACAGATTCTTACAATAATAGTGAGGTCAATCCAGTGATGGTAATCAGACAACAACTCCTGTAACCAAGATGTCCTTATCAGTAGTAGACACGGGGGAGTTGAGAACTTGATTAGTTCTCTGCAGATCATTTAGTCTCTCAAAAATATATATTTTTTATTAATGTTAATGAAAGTTTACAGAGACTTAAGGTTTCTAGTTATTCATTGTTGCACTTTAAAAAGATATTTTATGGTCATATTTTAGCCTCTGAAAACCCACTGCAAAGTCAGCTATGAATCACTTTCACCTCAGTGGCACAGAGCAATAACATCAACAACACGAAATAAGAAAGCATTATAGATCTAACGCTCTGGGAACAGAAGAGGGAAGACTTTGAAAAGAATACTCTTTTTGTTAATTATGTACTCACAGTAGGAACTACTGATGGGCAATGACCAATCCTGCATTTTCCCTTTAATCTCCCTACAGATAAAAATGTTCTTCTCCATCGTACACTTATTCTCCAATTTGCTATTTTAATTCCTTTCTTATAGATATTTTACATTTGCTAACCTGCTGCTTGCTAATCTGCATTTTCCTAAAGTTAGACAGGGTAGAAAATTTGGGCTTGTGTTAACGTAAAAGAAGAGCCATAAATTCAATGATAAGATTTAATTAATCTTTTATTATTACCATCTTTGAAGTTCAGGTAATAAATTGCCGGCCTGGCCAAAAGTACTTCTCCTGATTCATTGCTAGAGGGCCAGCACTCCATGTATCATCAAAAGTGGACAGCTTTCTTTATTTCATGGGTTATTTAACTTGAGAAAGGGAAAGTAACACAAACCTTAAATTTCTTATTCCAGCTATTCTTTTTTAGGAGCCAAAATCAACATTTGTATGTCCCTAGAGCCTCTCAGTTTCACTGTGGAATGTTTAGAAACTGAAATTTCTTCTTCTTTTTTTTTTTTTAACGACCAGTTCGTCTGTGCAGTTGCACTGGATTTGTCGAGCTAATGCTGTTTTTCTGGATCTTTCCTTCTTTCCCTGTCTGTGCTTCAATGCTTCCCCACCTTTGCAATGTAGCAAGCTGAGCAGTTGTTCAATCAGATGTACAACCCAGTAAGTCATTTCTCAAAGTTCCCCGCTGTAACATATCAAAGCATGAGGATCCATTGACCACATGTCATCATGTGCCATTCTAGGCGGGTGGGGCGCGGGGGGGCTTTGGAAGTATTTATGACTCTCTTCCTATTTTTGTTCTGTCAAAAGAAATGGCCTGTGAAGACCACGACCATTTCTTTTGAGTATAAAATTTTTAAACATTAACTCAAGGAAATATTGCCAGTTTTGAGATTACCTCCTGCTTCATTCACTTCAATTCTCAGACTATAGCAACAGATGTAGGCTCATGAAATTCTT